AGAGATTGGGAAGTACAGGGCTGAGAAAAAGAGCAAAAGAAAACTGCTTGATAGAGATTGCTCAATAGTGATGTGGATTTATTCTTTCATACCTATTTTTCTTAAGTGGGCTTTGCATTTCCTTTCCTTGAGGGATGGCTGAGAAGATCTGAGGCATTCAAATGTTCTCTCCCCGTTTACTACAGCTGCAAATGAGTGGTTAAGACACAGAAGTGTCATCTTGTGAGTGGGAGAGGAGGAAAGCAAGAAGCAAAATTAAGAAGTTCTACATATCACTCCATACAGTTCTGCCATACAAAATCAAAATTATCTGGTTTAGGTATTTCTGGGACTTATCTTGGCAGTTTAGATCCTTCAAAGTCTGGATACAGGAAACATTTATTCTCCTGCACTGGAGTTCTTCTGCCTTCTTGATGCAGGTTTCAATTTCAAAAGCCTTTTTTTAAGTACATGGCAGGCAATGAAACTGTCAAGCTATTACAGACAGACATAAAAACGATCTGCTTCAAACACAACCAGACCATGCTCTCAACTGTGTACAATGGCCAACGCGGTGCTGTACTTCTCCGAATGGAATTAAGGGACTCTTCACACTCTGTATAAAACTCCACAGAAGTACAAACCCGAGTTTCACAACAATGGCTTGGATTTCTGCTAAAGCACTGTTCAACCTCCTTGAGAATTATCAGCACATCTCTTGCAATAACACAGAGGCTTTCCTGACATACAGAGTGGATTTTCTGAAGATTTACATGCAATTCCAATAAACTTTTTCTAAAGGGTTCATTTTCAACTTCTGCAACAGGTGACAAGGCTTTTCTCAAGTGCTTTAAAAATTCCCCATACAGGTAAAAACCATTGGAAAATTCCATATTCTTGTACTTTGGAATTTGTTTGTTTAATTTCTAAATGGAGTAATGGCTATCTTACACTTGTTGTTTTATTGTCAAATGAGAACCTTTAGTACAAAGAGGCAGGGTTGGTTTTTTTTTTTCCTTCGAAACTGTTGTGTGAAGAAACGCCCCTCATCAAATTGGCTGTCACAAGGCTCAGCAGGGCAGAGGCTCTTGGAGATAAGTTTGAATATGCAGGCTGGCATTAGTCAGTTCTACCTATTTTATAACTTACAACCCTGGAGCTGGGTTAAGCTCATGTTCTTGCTGCAGACGGGAGGTGCTGGACAGTCACAGCAGAGGGACAGTAACATGGTGCCACTGTGGCAGGGCTGGGTTTTGGAAGGTGCATGTCACCTTTGTTTAGAAAAACAAGACTTTTGATCCAGTACAGTCTTTAAAAGAAGTCATAACAAGATGGGGAGCAACCATGAAAATACCTTGTAGCACAAAAGTTCACTACTTGCTGCAAAGAGCTTAAAAGAGCTGTTGAACTTAGAAAGGAATTTTGTTTAACAAGCATTAGAAACTTGCTGATGACCAGTTGCTGTGAGTATTGTGCTACCTAGCGGATATTATCCAAAAAAATAAGCACACTTAGGGTGCCCCTTCAAGGCGAAGGTGCTGTTTGAGCTATGGGTGAAGAAGTAACTGCTTTTGGGAAGAAACTGGTGCTACAGAGAGCATCACAAACACAGATCCATGACTACATGATTTTGTTGCCAAAAGTGATGCAAGTGTGTCAGTGAGAGAAACTCTCCCAGATGCACACTTGAAAAACTTGAAAACAGCCTTTTCTAACCTGTCCAAAAATCTTCCAAGCAGAGCTTCCATAGGTTTTGAACCCATTGGCTAATAAATCTAAAAATGCAACACCTTTCAGTTAGCTTGCAGGCACAACTGGCTACCATCCGGGAAGATGGACATTTACCAGCTTCATGGCAAGAAAATCGTTTGCCTAAGCAGTGGATGTATTCCTGTTCAGTCAGCACAGCTAATGCTGCACTTCTGCCATTTGCACCTACACTTCCATGTGAGAAATCTTTTTCAGCAGTAACAGCCATTACAACCAAGTACCATAATAAAGTGCACCTTGAACCAACCTTTTGAACAGCTCCATTACCGAGGGCTAAGCCAAGATTTTCAAAACTAACAAGCACTGGCAGTCACAGAGCCCTCCCTCTTCTTTGCCCAAAAACAATTTTGCTTTTGACCATGTTATATCACAGCTAAGAGCCCTTCTGAAAGCAGACAATTCTCCAGTATTTCCCCACAAAGCAATTTCCTCCCTTCCCACTGCTGGCAAAATTAAAAACTATTAAAACCAAAGTGATCAACTGCCCTCTCCCCAGTGCAACCCATCTGCTTAGCAGTAGGATAGTAATGGGACAACTGGAAAAGTCATAAAGGCCACTCTAGAATTCAAACTTCTGTTTATCTTGCCTCTGTCCAGGATAGTATTTTGGTGCTGTGATTGTAGTAACAGAGTCTGAACTGAAAACCTCAGCGTGCTTCAGTCCTTCCCCATCCAGTCCTGTAACTCATCAGTCTGGCCTCTGCCATCCCTGGGTTCCCCCCTTCCGCAGGAACACCTGGCAGCCACCTGGCCACAGGCACGTGCCCCATTTGGGTCCTTCCAGCAACTCCCCACAGATCCTCCTCCACCCCCGCACTGGGAGCTGCCGGGCTATCTCCTTCACGAGATTAGATTCTCCTAAACCTCATCTGCCCAGACACAGTTATGGAATGGCGTGGATGACAGCCAAATCAAAGGATTTGTGCAAGAAAAGGGTAAGTTTCAATTATGAAGTCAGTTATTTCTAAAACGTTTGTCTCGGAAGTCAGCTGGCTTTACCCAGCAAGTGGCCGCGTGCCCTGCACAGGACTGAGGGTGAACAGGGCAGTGGAGGTTTTGGAGCACGCCTGAAGGAGCAATCCAACCAGAGCAACACACACGTCCACGTACATTACTGTCCTCGAGAACCACCTTCAAGACGAGATCTCCTGATTCAGCACCTCAATATACTCCTTCTTAAGGTGGCAGTTTCAAAAGGCAGGGAGCCCACTACAGAAAAAACATTCGCAATCTGTGCGCTCAGCCTGGGCAAGAGAAGTCTCGCCTTGTGTACGGGCCTGAGGTGCAAAGCAATATTACCCAACCTCTCCCCAAAACACGCCTTGAACACAACTCCTGCGTACACACGCGCTCAGTCATGCCATCCACATCGGTGCACCCTCTTACGAGACTCAAAGATGCACCATATTGTGCTCACAGGACAAATAAACACTTCAGTGAAAGCGACTGGAAGGTTTAGGCAGAGTACCTAAAAAATACGACGCCCGACTCATAAGGATTTAAAGGCAACATTGTAGGGAGAAAGGAATTACATCAAGATCAAGCATGATTACGTATCATCTCACGAGCTACACTTCACAAAACCTATTAGCCATTTTTACCTCCTTTCCACTGCTTTCATATTTGTTGTTTACATAATTAGTAGCACACAGCTTCAAGCTATACACCATAATTTTTTCTTCCAGTTAAAGACACACTGACCATATCCAACTCCACACAGATAAGGTCAGATCATCAATGAAATGGAAAAATTTAAGGATAGTGCTTACAGAGGGAACGCACTTTGCTGAGATTGCAGGTGAGTGGTTTTTCAAGTGAAAGAATTAAGCAGTTGGAAATGTGAGACAGTTAATTTCTGGGTGTGTGCTTGTAGATCAGAAAAATGAAAATCAGAAATCAAGGTAATACAGGTATGTGAGCAAAGAAGAGTGTAAATAATTTGCTCAAAGCATTTTCATCTTTGCTGTGGAAGCCAGGAAATCCTGCAAGTTACATGGCCTAGATTTCCACCCCACCCCCCAACCATTGACTTTCAAAATAAATATAAAACCAAAAAAAGCTTCAACCAAACAAAAAGACCCACAAACAAAACAACAAACCCACAAGCCACATATTATGGAACAGTAAGGTTGTGTAACTTTTCAACAGGTCATAGAAAACTTAATGTATGACCCCAAAAGAACAAACCTACTGCTCAGCACAGACTCCTTCCTTCCATGGTTGTTTTTAATAGAATTTGATAAAAAAGCTTGTGTTAACAACAATTTTTAAATTGCATTATCACAAGTGCATAGCCTGGCCATACCATAAACACTGTCTGCCATTCATCTAGTATCACAACAGAAACTTACCCCCCAGGGACTGTTTTTTCAAGTTTCATTGACAATGTAGGCTCCGTGGCACTTCCACGTCAGGAGTCACAACCAGGAAAGCTTTTCTGAGCAACATCCTGCGTGTGACGTACTTGTCCTCGGCTCTACTGCATGGAATCACCACGGACAGACCTGCATGTGCTGGTTCTTGCAGTTCACAGCCTAGGCTAGGAATCACGGAATTCACCACCTCAAGAGCTACACATCATCACAAAGAAGTGTTCCTAATCAGTGTGGATGATACAGGTGGTCAGCATGAAACACCTTCCCCAGATGGCAGCAGTGCAGTGTATCAATCACCGCAGACAAAACAGCACGCCGTCCTTTCAAATTCATCATCTCAACCAGCAGAAGTTTGCAACACTGCCTCACAGGTTTGAGATATGCAGCCATTGTGGTAGCAGGCCAAGTGCATCACCCTCCTTCAGGGTGACCATCCTTCCAGACCCTTCTAATCATCAGGAGGCTTAGTCGTCACATCAGGTTCATCTATGCTAATAAACCGACTCAAAAGAGCTCCACGCTTCCAACGAACAACTGGAGCCACACATAAAAACTTTATGAACAAGTCTGATCCATCTTCATGAAGGTGGGGTTAAACTAGTTTTCAACACCTTTAATAACACTAAGCTACAATAACCTTTCCCACATTAGCATTGGCTCACATTTGCAAGATATGCTATTTGAGCTGCCCATATGGAAACGCACGCACACGACAACAGAAGTTACGCTTAAAGCACCTACACTCACATAAACCGCACTCAAAATGGAGCAATTCTGTCCTCATATATATAATATATATATATCAGAGTAATTCTTGTAAGACTGCATGTGCAATGGTGTTTTAGCCAATGAGGATTTCATTGACTTTTTCCTCACCTATTACTGTGCTTGGACTTTTCCCGGTCTTTTTCCTTGTCCTTCTTGTGCTCTTTGTGCCGGTGTTCTCGGTCTTTGTGTTTATCTTTGTGTTTGTGAGAATCTGCAAGCAGAGAGGCAAAAAAAAATTAAGAAATTAAGTTGGGAGAAAACTCCATGCCTCCCCTCATGAACCTCTGTATTTTTCCCCACCCCATATCAGTCTTCTCTGTGATTCAAAATTTGTAACAAAAATCTTCCTTTCAGAGGTCCTAAATTGATTCACTGTTCGGGCAGCACAAGTTAATTCATCTTGGCAACAGCTGCATTTATGTGGTCTTTAGTTCAATGACCTTTAAACGCTTTACAGATCCTGAAGAACTGCAACCCTTCTTATTAAATAGGTAAGGATGGCTATAACAAGTTCAATCTTATTTGGCAGATGGGAAACCTACCTTCCTACCCTGCAAGTATTTCATGTCAAATAGATTATAAGGATACAGAAACAGAGCATGAAGCTGCAATGTTAAGGCCTGCTGAATCCTAGAATTCAGACTGTTACTTCCACAAGTATCTAGTCTAGAGAAAGCAGCCCCTTCCCCAAATTAAAATCATCTTGTTCTTATTCCCAACAGCATGTGACATGACAGGCACACAGCAAGGGTAAGGAGGAGTAATGAGGGAAGAGGAAAAGAAATTGGAAAAAAAAAAAAAAAAGCAGCAGAGTAGGAATTTTCTCCTCATGCTTCTCTTCTGCAGCAGACACTTACCTCCCTCAGATAACAGCCCCACCAAGAAAATCCAACATGACAGCTCTAACGAGCATGTGCTGGTGGTAGCCCACCTACACACGTCAGGACTGGTCCAAATTAAGTGACAGGTCAGAAATAGGAGATGGCATTCAAGGAAATCTACATGAACACAGTAATTTTACTGGTATCAATTTCCACTCCAAGTGACATTTCCCATCCTCAGTGACAACCGTACTGTAAAGTCCTTTAAAGCACCAAGGAAACAGAACCAGCACAGAAAAAGAGCAACGTCTCTGAATTGTAAATAAACTAATTTACAAGCACCTTGAACATTCTTTACAGGTAGATAAAAACAAAGCTGGGGCTGAAATAACACCTCAAACACACCTCAAAAGGCACCATCATTTACAGTCAAGGGCACTGTAATGTTAGGAAGAACGTGTGCATGCCCAAAGACTTCCCCCGGTTTCTTTTGAGAGGTTTTTTAGGATGTCTTTTTTTTTAAATGCTTCTCAAAGCAACTAAAATCAAGCTCCTCAAGACAACTAAAAGGCTGTGCTGACTTTGGCAACTGTTTGCAGATCACAGCGCCAGAATTTCCACCAGAGGTTTTGGATATGCAGTATTAATGCTTAATTAATTGTAAAGATGTTACCATGCCTCTAGAAAGGCTACTGTCCCAGCACTAAGAATAGGAAACTGCAACACAAGGATTTTGTGACTTTCGCAGTCACAAGGGAAAAGCTTTGCAGAGCCAGGAACAAGCCTCATCCTCCTGACTCCAAGTGTTTCACCACAAATTCCTTTTTCTCCTTAACTGACACCAGCTTTTATAACCTCAAAACATTCAATTGTTTTTAGTGAAGCATACCCACAGTCACATTTCCACCGAGTATGATTTTAATCTAACGCTTTCTCAAGCTTCAGATGCTGTATCCAGACACCTGCAGCAAGACAACATAAACCAACATACGACTGCTGACATTCAAGCCTCCGACTTGCCTTCTGCATCCTTCCTCCAGCCTCCTGACCCTGGTGACACTTCCTCGTGTATGCAGCAAAGATGTTTAAAGCACAAGATTTAGTTTTCTATATTTTGATACACAGGCACGTGGTAGGTTATGTGGAACATTTGGTGTTACAGCATAAAACACCTAAGAGTTTTCAAGTACCTAAACAGCAAAATCTATTTCACAGCAGACAGAGCTTTGCAGGCATCTCTGGCAAACCGTGTGGGGACAGGACACCTACACACTCTGAGTTGCCAAGAAGCAATTTCTCGGTACCCTTCTTCCCACCAGGACAACACACATCTCGCTGCAAAAATGTTTTTGCAGTGCATTTCACACTCAGGATTCTTTGGTTTAGCCAGTAGCTGGAAGCTCATGTTGTTTGCAAACTGCCTGGGTTTTATTCCACAGAGCGTTTACTCACTGATTCCTAAAGTGCTGGCTGAAGCTAACAGTCATCTATTTACACTTGATGAATAGGTAAATTGCTAGAAAAACCATCATGATGCTATACATAGTACTATGTACACTCATTTTATAACATACTCTTTAGGGAGGCACAACCCAACAGAATCATTTTTTTTCTACCAACCAATTGGTGGAAAACACAGGCAACTGAGCTCAATACTATTCTCTTTAGAGTTTAGAAGCAGGAGACTATTTTTCATGGAAAACGGAACAGTCTTTTACCTTCATCACCAGATTCCCTTGCAGCTGACTCGTGCTTTCCAGCTGAAATTAATATTTACTCTTGAAAAGTAGTTCCAGGGCTGCACCCTGGAAACGCTGGACTCAGACATTTATTTCCTCAATCCTCTGCGCTGCTTACAATGATTTGGTATTTTCAGACAATTAAAACCTGGTTACAGCAGCAAAAAAAGTGCCTGACCAGTTAAACTAGCTCTGCTTGCTAGCCTTTGTCTCCACTCCACTTTCCTCTGCTTGTCACCAAAGGATTTCTAGCAGGGAGGTCTCTCACCACGGTGTTCTGGCTAAAAGACAGGCCAAAGCAGCCACAGAACAGGAGGCTGTGTGCAGGGGCTTGAAAGCAGAAAGGGGAAAACTGGTAGGAGAGCGTTCACCCACGTGCAGTTGAGGCTGGAGTGGTACTTGGCCTCTCACGTTAGACGACACTTTAAATTCAATAATTCCATGGAGTTAAATACACTAGACCTTCCAGACGGGGCTCCTCAGAACCAAATTATTCTGGAATATTTATCAAGTGCTGCTTTTTGACGCAATGCCATGAGGTATGTAAAGAACTTCAAGACTTCAAAAGAGTTTATTAAATAGTCTTGAGCTGACATGTGTATGTCTTCAGAAGGCATTAAGCTCTTGGTCTTTTTTTTTTTTTGTGGGTAGAGCTGGATGAAGTTCAGGAGATTGGGCCATTAAAAAGGACACAACTCTTTCTTTTGGCTTATCGCACAAAAAATGCTTTGTTCCAGACTGGTTTTATGTTGGAGTCCAAGTTGACGTTATTTGCTGGCTGACACGAAACAAGTTTAGCCATTTCACTCCAACTTGAATACCCACTTCACAGAAACCAAACCAACATCACCTCCAGCTGAGTTACACAGGCAATGCGTGACTAAACTGGGAACAAAACTTTAAGACCCAGTGGGCCACCTTGCACCAAACCGCACCAACACAGAAGTAACCAAACAGAAGTGTTCCTGTCTGTAATACATCTTCTTTGATACATTTAGCGTATTATTTCCTAGAAGAATCTCCCAGCTTGCAGCTGATTAGCAGTTGACTGGGTCCAGCCTCACATAAGCTACAGAATGAGGTCAGACATTATCACACATTCCTATTTGTTTCCTGCTTTTCATGTCTTCCATCAAGTGCCTCTGCTCCTTCTAACACTAAAGGAGATAAACACTATTCTCTCTTCAGGAGCATTAGCAAAACCCACTGTCTTCTGCGAGCAAAGTTCAAATTTCCAAAAGCTTGTGTGATATTTAAATATTTCAGAAACTGAAAGTCTCCCTCCAGCACCAAGGTTACACTGGGGACAGGGGTTATACTCGCTGGGCAAAGATCCATTACCCCTAAGGCTCTCCCTTCGGTATCCTCTAACCCAAACAGAGCTTTTGGCATCTCTTCAGTTCTAGAAAGCTTGATGTCTCTGGCACTGGATCTCTGTCTGTTAATGCTGAACCTGGTGTGTCTCCAAAAGATTACCGCGGTCCCCGTACTATTCCTGCCATTCCCCTGTATCTCCAACAATCAGGAGCAGTTCTGCATTTTTGCACGTTGATTCATCTTTCAACCCTGTTTAATTACCAGGATGCCTGATTTAAGGATGGGAAATTCTAAGCACTTTTGGTCTGTGGCTCTGTTTTGCTCCCCTCTGCCTTCCCTCCACCGCTAAGTCTCTGGGGAAAGGCTGAGTCACAACCCGATTTGCAATGCTTGTATATACGCGTTCCTGGAACGGGGCAGTTTTACTCTTTGCCCAGGAGCAGAGCTGGAAAAGGTTAGGCATCTCTAACTACAGCATGACAAGAACAGAGATGAAGTGAAAGCAAGACCTCCTCCAGCACGCGCTTGGCACCTGGAGAGGAAGAGTACCGACGGGCAACATTTTTCCCATTTTCATAATTTTGCATTAGAATATGTATTTTATTTTAAAAAAACCAAAACTGAGAGAAAAGATGTGAGCAACAATCCCTTCCTTCTCATTTCTCCTAAATTGAGGTAGCTGGTAAATTAACACCTGGTAACCCCAATTTCTAGCCAACAGCAGCTCTTCCAGATAAATCTATTAGCCTTCCCTATTTGCTGTCTTTTGGTTCACCTTCTTGCAAATTTTTATGGGCATAATTTGAACACCTCATTAACCTGCTTACAGAAAGGTTTCTGTCAGCAGTCTTTGTTCTTTTGAAATGTTTTACTAGGTTCTCAGATAACATTTTTTATTTTCCTTCAGGTTCCAGCAACACAATTGCTTTTCCTCTTGTTAGCCTAGAAATAACTGGGATGTATGCTTGTATTTTATCCATTTGAAGCCTTACCTCAATGCTTCTCTACACTGATTATAGAATTGTTATGGCTGAAAAATACCTTTAAGATCATCAAGTCCTACCATTCCCTAACCCTGCCAGGCCCACTTCTAAACCACGTCCTGAGCATCACATCTAGATGGCTTTTGCATACACCCAGGGATGAAAATTCAACCGCTTCTCTGGGCAGCCAGTTCCAGTCTTCGACAACCTTTTCAGCATAGAATTTTTTTTCTGATGTCTAATCTAAACCTCCACTGGTCTAACTTGATGCCAGTCCCTGAACTGTCCACGTAAGCTGATGTCCAGAAACACGATTTAAGCTTACTTGACTCTTGAGACTGAAAT